ATTGTTGAATTCATTTGTCATTATTAGGATGTGTGTTTTGTGAGTTGTTAACAGGACAGCCTCTTTGGCCTGGAAGGTCTGATGTTGACCAGTTACATTTAATAATTCAAACACAAGGTATTATATGTACAAGACTATGCACTATAAAGATGATGACTGCTGGTTAATCATTATAGGTGATCTTATACCTTATCATGTCAAGATATTCCAAGAGAGCACATATTTCAAGGACACTAGCATCCCATGTCCTGATAAAAGGGTATTTCATTGTAACTCAACTCTATTATTATTCTTATGACTATTCTAGGAACCTATTAGTGCATTATATCCTCAATTCTCCCAGCAGATATTATCATTCTTAGAGGTATGAGTCTGACATGGTAAATTCAATATTAATATTTTGATTGCAGCAAGGATGCTTGGCAATGGATCCCATAGCAAGGCAGACAGCAGAGGAATTACTAGACCATCCTGTCTTTGATGATTTCAGGGATTGGTTTCAACCAGAACTTGAGGTAATTGCACATCATATTACACACAAACCTCAGTATGGGCACTGCTCCCTTTTAAAGATGCTGCTAGCTCGGGAAGCAAAGAAAGTTCACAAATCAAAAGCTAAAGTTCAGCAGGCGTCTCGATCTAAAGGACATCTTGGAGGAGGAGCTACTGCTAGCAGTGCTGCAACAATACCGAATGAGAGCAGTGCCCTAGTACCACAATTACCAGCACTTGCTGCCACTAATAACATTATCCAGCAACAAATAGATACAGGTAATTCTAGTAATTATATAATGCAAAAAAATGATTGTTTTTGTGTGTTGAATTGTGTAGAACGTCGTGGACATCAGCACCAGAAATCAGATAGTGTTGATCACCTTCCATCACTGACTTAACCATTAGCTAATGCATGCATACTGCTAACTTGCACATTCTCTCTCTCTCTTTTCTCTCTCTCTGCCACTGCACTGTTACTATCACATCAATCAATTTATACTCATAATAATAATAATAAAGATTATAATAAAGATAATAATAATAACAACAATCATTATTTGTAGCAGATATAGCCTATCTGCATATCACAACAAAGATTATACCGTCCAATAATAATAAATAATAATGCATGTACATCTTATTAAAATTAGATTTTTTTCAAAAGTTAGCTAAAGACCATAGGCTATAATAGTGCTAAGTTATTTATCAAGGATGGCAATAATTACTCATTTTTCCTAATGAGTATACATGTTCTTAGGCAGTGTAGAAGCTTTGAGCTGCTTCCAATTACAGTAAAGTTGCTCTAAAACCAGGCCAAAGTCCCTGTACTATAGTACAGGGTCATCAGCAAAATTTTGCCTAAAATGACTAGGAAAAAATTTTTTACTTTTATAATTTATTCTGATGTATATACATATTTTTATGTTGTTTAGAAAGTTTGAGCTGATTCCAATCAAAATTAGATTATTTATGAATTTTTAAAGTTGCTCCAAAATCAGGCCTAAGTCAGATAACAATGACAAAATGAGGAAATTAATCAAAAAATTTTTTTGAACAATTTCAAGTATTGTTTTTGAAATTAATTTTTTTTGACACCTTGTTAGCACCTCGAAGTGTAAATTGAGGTGTGAACAAGCTTGTAATTTGTGCATTGGAAAGTGAGATTAGAAACAACACACAAAACAGTTAATTATTATTTGTTGATGTGATTATATTAGTAAAAGAATGTGTCACTCCAAACCTGTGAATAATGACATTATTATTATTATTAATAATTTAATAATACTTTCCTAATTTTTAAAACTGCTACAACATGTATATAATGTTCATCAAACAGCGAAAGTAAAAAAAATCAATAAAACAGACTTAAAATAAATTTCTTATAGCGAGTCACGATATTCACGTGCTTTCTTCAATCTATCAATGTCAATTTGCATCGATGCAACTTTCTTCCTTTCGTCATCAAGATCCTTCGAAAGTATATCTATCTCTTTCTGCATTTCTTGTCTAAGTTTCTCTTGGAATGTCTTGAATTGGCCTTGGAGCTCCTCGAATGCTTCCTTCCAAGAATTATCAGGAGGAGAAGCTACAACAGGAGCAGGAGCAGAAGGCAATGCTCCTTCCTAGTGAAAGTAACAAACAAACATAGCAAAGAGATAATGATAATCCAGTCATTAAATAATCAAAGTGTGCTTGTATACATTTGATTAAAATAATAATTAGGTTAACCTTATTAGCAGGAGTTTTACTGGGAGCCGTAGGTTTGGATGGAGCAGGTGCCACTGAAGGTGCTGGTGGTGAAGGCTCCGCTGGTTTAGGAGTTACTGTAGGAGTTGGCTTGGATGGTTTTGGTTTAGGCCTGATATCTGGAGCAGGTTTAGCTGCAGTAGTTGGTGGTTTGGCTGGCTCTGAGCCACCAGGAACTGTGGGTGGAGTTGGCCTAGGCTATAATGTGCACAGAATCTTATACAAGTACACAAAATCATTAAGTTATACTTTTCGCTTCTTGAGCTCTTGCTGCCAAGGAGCAACACCACTAGTGGGAGGAGACTGATTCCCTTTTTCAGGTTCAGTTTCTTTCTCTTCTGATATGTCAGCAGTCTAAGGAAGAATAGAATAAATGAGTGATACTGCAATGGGGGACGGTTACCGACCGATGTATTACGTGAAGGAGGTCTAGCAGTTCGTTTAGGTTTATCTCTAGCTACTTTACTATCAAGTACATCTTGTCTGGGGATATCCAATTCTAAAATGATGTGAAGTCAATCAATTCTGCATTACCATCACGAATCAATAGATCATTACCTGCTGGCTCTTTCTTGGGGAGCTCGGGTTGCTTGGAAGGTAATTTTGGCAATTCCACAGCTGATTTTGGATGTTTAGTAATCGACGAAGTGCTTGCTATAAAATATGATAAATAACATTACTATTAATATTATTAATTATAACATACGTGGTTTGGGCTTAGGGACTACAGCTGCTGGAGGGGCTGTTGATTTAGGGGGAAGAGGAGGCTAAGAAAAAATACAGCAATGTTGATATACACTATTATGATTCAATTACTACAAAAACAGGAACCATATACTACTGGTATCAAAGTACACAATGTTTACTTATTGCTTGGAATGTGTGTGCATGGAGTGTGAGTATAATGAGAAAATACTTTTGTGCACGCATTATTATATTTGCTTACATTGTCTATAGCTTCCACGATTTCAGGGACTTTGGGGGATGCTACAAAAATAATAGTTCAATATAAAGCTTGTTCAATCACAAAGCACTTACCACTGCTTGGTATGGCTGATAAGAAATTATCGGGCACAAGTCCAACCTTACCGCCAGCTCTGATCTTCCACCAGCCATCTTGATCAGTTTTTGTACTGATAATATCAACAGTGTCACCTTCTGTCACAGACACCTCATCATCCTGATCAGCATTATAAGAGAACATCACTTTAGCCTTTTGTGGCTGTGACTCTTGTATTGTTGGTACTGGGGCTGACTTAGGAATGGGAGCAGGGGCTGTTACTTCACTTGGCTAAAAGTGAGAGTGTTAATAGTATCAACAATGCACAGAGTGTAAAATTGACAGTGTATAACAAGTCAGTTTGATTTGCTTACTGGTGGTCCTGTTGCCGGTGAAACTGGTTTAAGTTTCTGTCTGAGCTCATTCGGATTGATACCGCCTAGCCCTGGCATTGCTATCATTGAAGGAGGCCTTGCCTTCTCAGCTATTGTATACAGTTTATCACAATAAGAATGTATGCCAAGACTTCTCTAACCTGGTTTACTTGGTGTTATGTTGGAATAAGGAGGAGGAGAAGTGCCTCCTTCCTCCGTCTCTTCTATTAGCTGAACAAAATTAGACGGGAACACGCCTTCTTTCCCATCAAGTTTCCCCCTCCACCATCCTTCCTCATCTTCCCCCAGTATCTCTACAGTGCTCCCAAGAGGCAGGCTCAGTTCGTCAGAGTTCTCTGCTGTGTAACTAAATGCAACTTTGGCTCTTCGTTTACGAGTGTTGTCTGCTGATTCCGCTACATAAGGCAATTCTTTATAATCTCAATAGCATTGAAATGAAATGGATGTTTTGAAAACTAGCGTAATGTTATCAGGTTAGCTTACTTCTTAATTTAGGGACGTCGGCTTGCTCCACTTTCGGTTTGAGCTTTACAAAGTTCTCTGGAAACACTCCTTTAATGCCATTGAGTGTTCCCTCACACCAGCCTTCCTCTATCTAAGAACAAAGTCATGATGAACATTAGGGTGCTATAAAGCGGGACAAAGGTAGGGTGGGTGCACACTCACTATGGTCACATCAGTCACTGTGTCTCCAACATTGAGGCTCAGTTCATCGTCTTGCTCTTTGGTGTAATTGAATAAAACGACGGCTTCTGTAGCGTGAAGGAGAGAAAGGAAAAACAGACATGACAAGGATAAGTATTACTCTGGCTTACCCATGAATGGAAAGAAAGAAGAGAAGAGCTAAAGCCTAACCCGTCAAAAAGTTAAAAAGTACGATGGGCGTGGTTGGTTTGAAAATTATTACATGGGTGTGGCTGGTAACTTGCACATACACAACAACAAGAGCAACATCAATCATGTTGAAGCTTATACTAGAGGCTGGCTATGTTGACCCTGAAGTACTACAGGAGCTAAACGAGGAGCAAAAAGAAGTAATGCATTCTTAGAGGCTGCATTTTATGTACTTTTCTCAGATGCTGTTTGAAAAACTAAGACAAGAGCAGCTGAGGAAATGGAGAATAAGAGAGGAGGAATTGCTAATGAAAGAGAGAGCAATGCCAGCTAAGCCTCCTAAAAAACCCAAAGTATGTATGGGTTCAACTCAAAAACTAATGTGATTATTTTTTTAGATAAATTTCCTTGAAGGATCAGACGGTCGTCCATGGGTATGGGTAATGGGTGAACACCCTGATGATCTGCCGTATGAAGAGCTAGTTAGAAAAAAAGAAGCCAAGGAAGAAGAAAAGAGAAGAGAGAGTGTAAGAAAGGAAGCCGAGGAACTAGCAAAGCTTGAAACTAGAGATATTTTACTGGCAGGTATTGATTCTAAATTCATTTTTTGCAAACAAAACTCCACCGCCTTGCAGATGATGATTCTAGCAAGCCTCTTGCACATTCAGAATCATTCATGGATACAGTCATGGCTGAGTCTCCTGATGGAATCAGGAAAGCTAAAGTGATAGGCCTGTGGCAAAAGGCAATTGATAATCGAACAACACTTGTACAAAGGTTTGTAGCTATAAAATACAATTTTTAGATGAAAGTAATTCTTTTAATTGTAGCATGACAGAGGAAGAGAAACAAGCATATGAGAAAAGGAGAGCAGATGAACTGCATGAGAATATGTTAAAAAGCAATGAAGTTAAAATGACTAGAGCAGCAGATGTTGCAATGGAAGCATTGGTACAAAATAAACTCACTATGTACATCTATCTATTCATTGTACTATACAGAGACAATGGCGTGAATCAGAAGAGAAAGCAAAAGCTTTAGAAAAGAAGCACAAGATATCAGTGTCAAAAGCAAAGGAGAAAGTCAAGGGCGAAGTAGCTGATGAAGAAATACTTGCTAGTATTCCTGATGAAAAGAAGAAACAGCTCACACGAAAACTAAGTGAAAAGAAACTTGGCACAAAAGCAGTCGAGCAGAAAGTGGAGGAACCTGTAGCCAAAGGGAAGGAAAAAATAATGCTTAGGTGGTCTAGCTTTGTTGCAAAGGACACAAAGCCTAAGAGCATTGATCATGCAATTAAATGGTTTCGAGAGCAAGAGGCTCCCAAAGGTGTAGGAAGAGAATCAGATGGTTCAATCAGTTTGTGGTTTCATGGTACTATACTCATTGCTTGTGGCATGTGACCTCATTCCTATAATAGGTCCAATTAAAAGGGACACTGCAGATACCGTACTCCAACCCAAGCCTTCTGGAATGTACCTTGTGAGACTGAGTCATAAAGTTTGGGGATACACCATTTCAGTCAAAGGTACAAATATACCAGTATAATTTTATTTTAGTGCTATTCTTTAGTGACCGAGGCTGTGAAGCATTATGTTGTGGATGTTAGTACACCAAATGTGTACAAATTCATTGGGAAGCAACAACCTGAATTCCCTTCATTGAAAGAGCTGCTCAAGTACTACAGGTATAGCTTGCATAGTTTCTATCACACAATCACATGACTAATGTATATCAGACGATATCCAGTTACATGGAAAGGAAAGGAAGTTCTATTACTAGCATGTGAACAGTCTCCGGAATTACTACTGGAGACAAAGGCTCTCTATCAAGATACTGAAGAAGCTGAAGAATAGAAATAATTTTAATATTAAAGTAACATCAATATTATTATCAGCGTAGTGTGTCCTATTATAGTCTAGTACGTCCCTGACATTCTACATCATTATTAAAATAATGATAATAATAATAATAATAATTGTTATTAGTTAAATATAATGCTGACACTTATTATTATCACGAAAATCAATACAAATAAGTCACAGTCACAAATCACAGACAAATGAAGAGAAACAACTTAAGATTACACATGGAATATACTGGGAATTCAATCTCAGCAACAACTGTCAACTCAAAAATTAAAGGCACCTGGCTGTGCGGAGGGAACAAACTGAAGTTGACCCGAGGATGTAGTTGGGGCTATTGTAGACATTACTTCACCCTAAGCAACACAAACAATAAATCCTGTACTAATCTAAATCAAAACAAACCTCATCAGAAAAGAACTTGTCAATGATATTTAGCGATAACTGATAAACCTCGTCATTTTCATGTTGCTGGAGTGCTTCAACTTTATCCAAGCCTTCATAGTCCTCCATTAAGGCACACACTTGCTCGGCTTGTCCTGATTTCTTCGCCGCCTAAAAAAGGCATCAAAAGCACATCCAGTAAAATGGTGTCTTACATTCAGTATGTTTAAAATAGCATCAAGTATAACAAGAATCGTCTTGGTATCATTGACGACCAGTAGGTCACATAAAGGTTTAAGCACGCCCATCTGAAGGGCATACATTATTTGTGCGACAGTTCCGCCAGCTGTTAGGTTAGTCACAGCCCACACTGCTTCCTTTTGAGCTTTAAACTCTCCCTACAAGAAAAACAGAAAGCATATAGTGTATACTGAGTGACTCTAAGAACAATGAATTACTATAGTAAGGCATTGTTGCATTGAGATGCAACAGTTTCAGTTTGAGAGGTGTTTTGCAAAAATGAGAACTAAAAGAAACAAACAAGTATATATACCGTATCATTAGAGATAAGCATATCAAAACTGGCTAGTTAAAACAAAGCACTCAGAGAATGACAAAGTTTTAGAGCCTATAGCCCACCTTAATGAGTATATTGATTAGTGGTGGTAGGAGATTGGCATCTATTACAGCCTGGATCTGTCCTTGTTGACCTGCAGTGATGTTTGATAGAGTCCAGGCAGCTTCCTAGTAGTGAAGGACATATTGTAATACAATCAGGCAGGTATACACAAATACACACACAAATACACAAACATCAATCATCTATAAACACACAGATAAAATGCACAACAATCGATCATCTATAAAATATGCTATAACTATCTTTTGTGTTTCTCATGTAGCATAGAGACGTGTAAAATGTATCAGGAAAAATTATCAAAATGGAGAATACTCTCCTAGCTATTTTTAATAGCATCATACTTTGGCCCAATTTTGGAGAAACTTAAAAATTCATAAAAAATCTAAATTTAATCCAAAGTAGCAAAAAAAATTCTAAACAACATAAGAACATGTATATGCATCAGAAAAAATTATAAAAATAAAGAACTCTCTCCTATTCATTTTTGATGAAATTTGGCCAATGACCCTGTACTATAGTACAGTGACTCTGGCCCAATTGTGGAGAAACTTTACAAATTCATAAAAAATCCAAATTTGATCGAAATCAACTCAAAATTTCTACACAACATAAGAACATGTAAAGCATCAGAAAAATTTATAAAAATGAAAAATTCTCTTCTTAGTCATTCTTGATAAAATTTGGCCAATGACCCTGTACTATAGTACAGTGACTTTGGCCCAATTTTGGAGAAACTTAAAAAATTCATAAAAAATCCAAATTTGATAGAAATCAACTCAAACTTTTTAACGACCTGGGGGCGTAGCCCCCAGGTCGTTCCTATAATTGATTTCAACCACGTGCGATGTTTGTATATATATATATTTGTATGTCCACACTTACATTTCTTCTATACATGTTGTATTGGAGAAATAACAAGCCTTAGCAACCACCCGCCCACGCTCCTTTACGTGAGTGGGTGTGGTCACGGCAAACAAAATGGCGGCTTACACATGGGACAAAGTTAAGAGCTTTCTAACAGCAAGAGAACATAAAGATACTGTTTAAAAACTTCTCTAGAAGCATTTGAAGGTAGAGAGAACCTCTATAAGTCTTAATAATGACCAAGTTGTACTTGCAAAGTGGTGAAATCAATTATAGGAATATTTTTTACACTGTTACGCTTGTTACACAACATATGAACGCGTATACGCATCAGAAAAAATTATAAAAATGAAAAATTCTCTCCTAGTCCTTTTTGATGAAATTTGGCCAACGACCCTGTACTATTATAGTACAGTGACTTTAGCCCAAATTTGGAGAAACTTAAAAAATTCATAAAAAATCCAAATTTGATAGAAATCAACTCAAACTTTTTACACAACATATGAATGCGTATACGCATCAGAAAAAATTATAAAAATGAAAAATTCTCTCCTAGTCCTTTTTGATAAAATTTGGCCAACGACCCTGTACTATAGTACAGTGACTTTAGCCCAAATTTGGAGAAACTTCAAAAAATTCATAAAAAATCCAAATTTGATAGAAATTAACTCAAACTTTTTACACAACATATGAATGCATATATGTATCAGAAAAAATTATAAAAATGGAGAATTCTCTCCTAGTCATTTTTGATGAAATTTGGCCAATGACCCTGTACCAGGGTTGGGGCGAAGTACTTTGAAAAGTACTTAAGTAAAATCCAAGTACATTTACAAAATACTTAAGTATAAGTACAAGTACATGATCGCTTTTGACAAAAGTACTTAAGTATAAGTACAAATACTTGGATATGTACTTAAGTATAAGTGTCAGTACTTTTTAGAGTCGATTTAATTATATTACAATCAATTACTATTACATGTATTGAACATTAATCTTCAAAACATGAGCTCCTGTTCAGTTACAGTTAGAAATAAGTGAAGAGACTGGCCAACTACCCAGCTAAAGACAAAGTAGTGATACTGGAATTTGCACTTGCTTTCTGTGATACACTGATATAGTATTGAAAGTACATGTAATCACACCAGCTGTGGTAATAATATACACATTATACAATCTGTGCTTAAAAAGACTTAAAAGTACTTAAAAGACTTATAAGTACGTGAAGTACATCAAGTACATAGACTAATACTTAAGTATAAGTACAAGTACATTGGTAAAATTTTAAAAAGACTTAAGTATAAGTACCAGTACCAAAAAATATGTACTTAAGTGCACTTAAGTACAAGTACCAATGTACTTCGCCCCAACCCTGCCCTGTACTATAGTACAGTGACTTTTACATGATTTTGAGTCACTTAAAAAATTTATAAAAATCAAATTTGATTGAAAGAACATGTATGTGTATCAGAGAATGTCATCAAGGCCATACAATATAAATGTGCCTCTGTGACAATTATCATTTATAATGGCGGTACACTTACTTTCTGAATGTTAGTCCTTGAATGACGTAACAAAGGATCAAAGTGCTGCAAAGCCCCACAGTTCAAGACGTGTTGGGTTTGCTCATCATTACCCGTTACAACATTGCCAATAGCACGAAGTGACGGAGACTATAAAAATTTTTAAAAATTATCAATTATAAAAAACATTGATGCTCCAGGATTTCAATCAATTTTGATTACAAATTTTTAAAATGCAATTTCCAGCAATGAGTTATTAATATCAACATAAATTACATTCTAATTACATTCTGATATTGTTTAGAAAAAAATCTGAATTAATAGGAAATGTAAATATTTTGGACTTATTTTAGTTGCCTATCTAATCAAACTTACTGCTAAACTAGTCTCCCCACATCCAGTTAGCTCAACCAAGCGTGGCACAACCCCACTATTAACCACAGTCTGTATACGCTCAGTTGATCCATCAGTAACATACGACAAAGCCCAACAAGCATCACTAACAACCTAAAATATCAATTAATATACATGCAATGATTATCAATGAATAATGTCACATGTACCTCTTTATCCTGATGATTGATCAACTGTGTCAAAATTGGTAATAACTAAATGAGAAAGAACAGTAGACTAGTAAATACAGTATAGTAATACTGAATGTATATACTAGACATATTAGTAAATACATGTACAATACAAAGTCATGTATTATAATAATAATATACAAATGTACTTGTTGTATAGTTTCCATTGATGGAGGTGGATTCTTATTACGACATAAATTAGATATAGCCCAAGTAATATTACGAAGGTGGTTTACCTAAGAGGAGGAAGAGGAGGAGGGTATAACACACAAAAAGGGGATGGAATAAGTAGATCTAAAGGTGTATATTAGGTATAATTATGACATAGGAAACTTACAGTGACAGTAGGAGTAATGCAAGCTAGTAATGGTTGAATGATGCCACAATGAATGACAAAATCACGACACTCTGATCCATCACCTAATTATACAAGAAATAAATAAAGGTGCTTTTTAAAATGCATACACAGCAGCTGTTATTATTATTACCGGCAATGTTTCCTAAAGCCCAGACAGCTTGGTCTCTAATGTTAGCATGTGGTGATGCCAAGAGATTAATGAACATTGGTACAGCTCCTACAAGAAACAAGCCACAAGTATGACAAGTATTGTATTACTTATGGACACAAAACACTACTGACCTGACTGGACCACAGTCCTTGTCTGATGAGAAGTCCCTGATGCTATGTTAGTAAGAGCCCAAGCAGAGTCAAATTGAAGCTGTTGGCTATGGAAGAATGAGGAGGGGGTGAGATCAAACAAAGAGGGTGTGGTAAAAATAATAAATCATTATCACGCATAATATAAATTACTTGTCAGAGCGCTGAAGGAATTCTACTAGTTTGGGTACAACTCCACTCCTATTGTTAAATACCAACAACATGTTGTTTATCATATTTGTTCACGTACTTAATGACTTCATCAAGCGGTGGACTACGAGCTCTGGACAACAACCGTCTACGGAAAAACACAACATGTAATTAACCTGTTGACATAACACTAATGATACTGTATGGTAATTGGAGTAAAATTAATTTTGAAATTCAAAAAAGTGGTGTGATTGAGGACAAACAAAACATTTTCAAATTTTATAACATTAAATTAAATAAATAAAATAATAATCCATGTAATGTGTGATCGTACCTCACTGATTGAACTCCTACTAATTGGGCCTGCAAATCAGCACTGAATATTTTCTAATAAACACAAAACGAAGGATATAAAAGGTGATAAGTGAAGTGGGTCTTCATTACCTCTACAATGACAGGGAGTTCGAAATCCACTGGCTGCTGATTACTGGTCTCTGTAAGAGGGGACGGCTCGAGGAGGTCAACCGACACGTTCCTCCTTTTCAGCATCTGCTCTTCTTTACGAGCCTAAAAAAGAGGGACTGATATCAAGGAATACGACTCTCTGGTACCTTTCTAAGTTCTACAGTCACGTCCACTCTTCTTCTCCTCATTTCCTGTAAGGGAACCGAGAGTTACCGTGCACAAGGCAACCATACTCGACTTACATCGTTGTCCTTTCCTCTGTTCTTGAAGGATCGCAAACGACCGGCATTCTCTTTGCTGTCTGTCGTAGGCATCTTGTCTCTTGTGAATGACTGACCGCAGAGTATTCGGTGAAGAAAGGAGAGAAAGATTTAAAATGTGTCTGATTCACTGGCGGAGGGAGATGATCTGCGCATGCGCAGTAGTTTTTAAAATTTGACTTTTGAGCAACATTCATGCATTTACCATGGAGCATGGAGCTGCATGATGGAAGTGGGACTTTGAGAGCTAGCTGCATAGAGCTGCATGGACAGTTCTAGATCTCTAGAGTCTCAGTTTTAAAATAATCTGCAAAAAATGTGCAGACCACGCATTGTACAGCACTCCAGTTACTAAACTTTGTTGGTGCCATTTTTTGTTGGGAGTGTTGGTAAAACCCAGATCCACGCCCTAACAATGGCACAAATGGATTTGAGGGAGAGCCTGGCTGAACACTTACTAGAAGGAATTGACGCAGCCAATGGAAAACTTCTCGGAAATGGCAGTTATGGGGTCGTCCAGACTGTTAAATATAAAGGAAAGGAACTGGCTTGTAAGACCTATCGTGATTATTTGATTAATAGTGCAGACCACAATATGAGAGGGGCCTTCCTCAAGGAGTGCCACAATGCCATGCGTTTGAATCATCCCAACGTTGTCCGTTCTTGCGGCTTCTACTTTCCCCAGGAAGCCATCTTTCCTTCCCTTGTAATGGAACTTCTCCCTCATTGTTTGAATAAGATCCTTGAACAGGGAATGGTTCCTTATCATTATAAGCCTTTCGTATTGGCAGATGTTGCAAATGGCCTCTCGTATCTTCATTCACAGAATATAATGCATCGTGACCTTACTGCAAACAATGTCCTACTCACAGAGAAATGGACAGCCAAAATAGCGGACTTTGGACAAGCAAAAGTTGTCAAAAATAAAGATTTCATAAAGCACACAAGTGCACCTGGTACTCCTGTGTATATGCCGCCTGAGGCAAGGCCAATAAGTCAAGGGGCAACGATACCAGACCTTCAACAATTGGAATATTCATATACTATTGATGTCTTCTCGTTTGGTGTCCTTATTCTCCACATGTATTTGAACAAGATACCAAGGATCATTGACGAAACAGTTTCAGATACTAGGAATCCTCAACTGTTTTATCGTCGCCCTCCACTTGATTATTTTAGTCAGGACATTGAGACTGCTATCCCCCGGGAACATCCATTTAGAAGTCTTGTTGAACGTTGTCTTAAAGATTCTCCTAGTCGTCGCCCCTCTGCTTCAGAGTTGTGCATTGAAACGAACGACATGAGACAAGATGCTTGCAGGAACGTTGGCCTAATCATTGCTGATATTGAGGAAAGGCATAAGCAGGACCAGGAAAAAATTAAGAAGTATGAAGAACAGCTGACTGACTATAAGAAACTGAAAAATCACTTGACTCAACTCAGTGAGGCCTATGCAGGCTTTAAGGAAAGGGCAATGAGTAGGAGATTAATAAAAGGGCAGACAAAAGGGGATCAGCCATTAGAGCCGCAGGACACAACTGATGATCCAAGTTTATTAGAGTCTATGTCAGAGAAAAGGAACAGTGGCCAGATGTTAGAGGAGTCCTTCAGAAGCATTACAGGGAGAAAGAACACTGCGTCAGAGCCGCCCGAAGTATTAGAAAACATGATGTCGTACAGATCGGAAAAAAGGAGAACCGCTCAAGCCCTTATTGACGAAGAAGACAAAGATGATATCATGATATCGTTTAGAGATGCTGAAATCATGTTTGAAGAAAGAGCAAAACATGTCGAGAAAGATTTGCTACAGGCTCGGCGCGATCATGCTGTTTTACTTAGCGACTATCAGCAGCTTCATGAAGAGAATCAAAGAATCAGAGCAGATAGAGACAGACTGTTGGCGCATACTGACGACAATCCACTGCTTCAAACCATGACAAAAGAACTTCCTTCACCTGGTTCATTAAGTGAACTACCATCTTCATTGGATCCTACAAAAGTAAGTTAAAATAATACAGTACTAATGATGTGTGATTGAAATTGTTGTGTAACAGTGACAGTGAAGCAAAATACACATTGATAAATAATGTGTCTGGTTCTTTTGTTTTATTTAGAAAGACAGGATGCTCTTGAAAAGTAATGCCCTCATAACGATAGAAGATGTCCCACAGCAACCTCTCTCATTTCACGATATCAGTGGGGCTCAAGCTGTGACTCACGATGGGAAAGTCTACATTGGCAGGGCCACTTGCAGCATCTGGATGTACGACACCGTTACCAAAGAATGGAAGAAAATGAATACCGACGCTCCTTTTAAGAACTATGGATTGGCGATATACGATAAGAAACTAACAATCGTTGGTGGGTCTGATGCTGTGGGGAGACTGAGTAGGAAAGCATTGGTATACAATGAGGATAATGATACTTGGGATCCTGATAAGATTAAGAAAGAAATGAGTAGACCACGTGAGAACCCAGCTGTTGCTACGACCGACAAGTACCTAATAGCAATGGGAGGTACTTCCACCAGAGTTGTTGGACTCTTCCTCACGCCAGTGAGTACCATTGAAGTGTACAATGGAAATGAATGGAGTCTCGCTAATGCCTCACTCCAGAGACCTGGGGACACAATGCAGTCCTTTGTCCAAGACGGCTTCCTCTATGTTCTCAATTCCGACGGCTGGACAGCCCGATATTGCAGTGTTAATACTCTTATTGAAAGTTTGACGTCCAAAAAGAAAGCAAAGAACTTGTGGCACTCGATCCCAAGAGATGTTCCTCATACTCGTTCCTGTGTGTTTGTCTGGGATCACACATTATTAGCCATATCCGGTGCCGGCTCTGACGGCTTACAATACGCGTTTGATCCCAACTTACTAAAGTGGAATAGGATAAAGTGTAGAGGGGCTCTCCCAGCAATCAGAAACGCTACTTGTCTCTGGGTTGGACATAACCAGTTGTTTCTCTGTGGTGGTAACATTGACATGTTCACGGACTCCTCAAAAGCTTCCTTCATGTTAGTTGTTGGTGAAGATGATGGTGAACCCTCTGATGAACCCTCTCACCAGTTTGAAGGCAGTAACATTACTTCTAGTTCCTATGACATTATAAAAAACTAAATACATTAATATTGATAATTATTGTTTGTTTATTTTTCTGATTTCTATTTGATTTTTTCAGAAAATCATTTTAGCCCCACCCACTTTGCACTATTGAGTCACGCCCACTTAATACTTCTGACAACTGACAAGTCGAGTTGTGTGTTGGCATGGTTTGCTAAATGGACTGCTTTAGCTAGTACTAGCTGTTAACAATGTTTCTTGTAAGCCTTGTTCTCTTAAAAGGGAGAGCGAGAGCTATCGCTCATTCTAGATCTTCAGCCTCTCTTTCGGTGTGAAGTTTCTGGTAAGCGAGCAAGCAGTGGTTGTCAGTGTCGGAGACATCAATAAATAGAGATACGGGTAAGTAGCTAGAACTATTTCAAGCAGCCATCACTGTGTTCTTTCCTAATCCTTGCAGCATGCACGACGCAGTAGCTCAGTTTGCTGTCCATCATTCCCTCCGGGAAGGAGATGTGAATATGGGAGGAGGAGGCGGTGGAGGTGACGAAGAGGTCTGTGCGGCCAATGATCCAAATCTGTACATCAAAATCATGGGCACTATCATCTTCGTTGTTGTCTGGCCATTCATCGTCTTGGACATGAAGTGGTTCCCTCTGGGTCGGCCTGCAGCTGCTCTTCTCGGTGGTGTTCTCATGGTAGTCTTCAACATTGTCAGTCAGGCCGAGGTGTACGAGATTGAAGGTGAGAAAGGAAACCTGCAGACTATGTTCCTCTTGGTGGGTATGATGATACTGTCCTACTACTTCGACCGAGAGGGACTCCTGAGGCTTGTCTCGCTCTGGATTTTTGGTCATGGCAACAAGCCGTTCCATGCTATCTTGTGGAAAGTCTGCATTCTCTCTGCTGCCTTGTCTGCTTTTGTCACCAATGATGCAACATGCCTTGTTGTCACTCCTCTGCTCCTGTCTGCATTCTGCAAGCAAGGTCGCAACCGAAAGGAACTTCTGCCACTCTGCTTAGGAATCGCCACCTCAGCAAACATTGGCAGTGCTGCTACTGTTTTTGGAAACCCACAGAATGCTTTCATTGCATCGGCTGCTGGCGTTGCTCTTATCGACTTCTTCATTGCTGAGCTCCCAGCTGCTCTCATTGGTACCGCTGTGAGTATTGGCCTCCTGTATATCTTCTTCTTTAGGATCATCTTTAAGAAAGGCCGCTATGCAGAGGAAGAAGACGGGACCGAGTCCATACGTGATCGCAACACTGGATACCGTATCCCTGGAGACCTGGCCGAAGAGAGGGCAAGCGTTGCTCTCAGCTACGATCAAAGTGGAAATCCTACCACCAGTCAACTGGCCAAGGAAAGGGAGCTCATGTACAGCACTGAGAAAATCAGTGGATCATCATCCTTCCATCAAATGCCAAAAGATCAGCACGTACCTCGCTCTGCCTCCAACCCTGTCCTGAAAGGAGGTGCTCCGGCAATCAAAGTGGAGAATGTAGACAAGCAAAATGGAGTTGATATGGTTGAGCCAGCAGCTGAAGACAATACTGGTGGTGGTGACTATGAAGTTGATATTCGCCCACTTAAGGACCGCTCCATTCGTGACAAGATCTTTATCCTCTGGCTATTATTCATATCTGTTCTCCTGGTTGTTCTCTTAGCTATTCCTCCTCCTCCCACTGTTAACAGTGAGTTCAATCTTGGCTGCATCCCCATTGCTTCTGCCGTACTCACTATGTTAGCCGATACGATCATTAACAAGAGATATGCATACGAATCAATGTTGAAGATTGATTGGACTGTCATCCTTATGTTCATGGGTCTCTTCATTTGGCTTGGCGGCTTCCAGAACACCTGCTTCCCTTACATCATCTTTAACGAGCTCGCTCCATATATGAACCTCTACAAGTTTGAGGGGGTCCTCCTCTTTAGCGTCTTTGTCATCATTGGCTCTAACATATTCAGTAATGTCCCACTCGTTATTCTCATTGTTCATCGCATTGATGAGCTCTGTGGTGACGTTCAGTGCGAGGGACCTCTTGGCGGCCTTCTTCTGGCCTGGATCTCGACCATTGCTGGTAATTTCACACTCATTGGTAGCGTAGCTAACCTCATTGTGGCTGAGAAGGCTCGCAGCTCTGCCGATTATCGCCTTACCTTTTGGAACTACATCAAGTTTGGTTTCATATCCACTATAGTTGTCATCTACCTTGCTCTGCCTATTGTGTACTTCCTTGGAAGGGTAGCTTAAGACTGAACAGTCATTGTTATTACGATGTATGTAGTGCAAATAAGAACATTATTACTTTAGTTCTTACATGTTTTTTTGCTTTTTTTGTGTTTACTCTGTTCCTTGATAGTGTAATTATTACCTTTGTCTTTATTAGAATTATATTATAAATAGTTTAACTCATTTGTTAATTGTGCTGAGTTGCATTTTACTCAGAACTGGCCAACATGCCAATGATTATTAGAATCACGTGCATTCTTTGTAACAGTTCCAATCACATTCATTTACTAACAATAGTTATACACATTGATACACAAAAATATTAAATCACAAAATAATATTAAATTACAAAAAATATTAGTGACAAATATTTCACATTTTCGATCTGCTGATAATATCAGAACAAGTCTCACTAAAAGTCTGATAGCTTCCACCAGACAGCCACTCAAAATGAACAGTGCAGTCATGAACCGACTTCTTTCTTATGCTGATACTCATGTCGATAGAGTGATGACGACAGCGCATCTCTGTTCGAGATAAGGGCTCTGCTTTCTTCATCCTCATGTCCTGTGTCACTTGTATTAACTCACTCATTATAGCACTAGTGGGGAGCTCTGTTTTGAAGCTGTAGTCCCCACTCGGTGGAACGATGCCATTTTTTCTGCTTCTCATTGAGGCTGTTCGTCTCTGTCTCATGGCAGGGTTTCCACTGTTGACAGGTGTTGTTGCAGCTGGACTCCCATTGTCACTATCTTCCATAAAAAACTTAGCCCTACCAATGGGGCTTATCGTACCGCTCCCAACATCATGGAACTCTATGTTGTCATACGAGTCCAGATCAACAGACTGCATGCTCTGATTGAGGCTCGGTAGTTTACTGTACATGCTGGCTCTTGATCCTGATCTGGATGGAGGGTTAGACTGCCATGCACCAGTTGGTGGCGGTACCATTTCTTTTGATCCAGAATGAGTCGTGGGTCTTTTTGTTCTTGTATCAATTTCATATTGTTCACTGGGTAACGGTGATGGATTGTGATAGTGTTTGTTGGTATAAGCAGGAGGGAGGGGTTGAGAAGGTTGAGGGTGAGAATAACGAACAGGGCTTCTCGGAAATCTACTTTTAGTGTCTTGTGGGACGGCTTGGCTCTTTTCTGTTTAAATAACAATAATTACATTAAACATAAGACACAATAAATACATGTACTTGCCTTTATGCATTTTTTCCAACTCGATCTTCATTAAATCAGCTGGTACAGAGCCCCTTCTCTCTTCAAGGATGTCACTCAATCTCCTACCATCTCTTTGAGACATTGGCACATGATAATCGGAAAAATCTTCCGAAATGGGTCTCCTGGAATGCCCTGTCCCTGAACCTGCTGATGTCTATTTGATGCTAAAATTAAATCACTTCCTTTAAAATGAGAACTTACAGTTTTTTTGACGTCCTTCCTTAATTTGACTGGAGCTGTACAAGTTGAAGATACATCTGAGTCGTCTTCATCATAAAACCCTTGGTCTTTTGAAATCTTTTTTTTAAATGATCTCCGGCGTGGACGAACTGGAGCCTTCGAAGGGAACTGCTTCTCGTATCGTGCTAATCTCGATGCAAGTAAATTATAAATAGCATAAAGGGAGGTAGCTCGGTTTGTAATTAGGTCTTGCTTGATCTCCATCGCAGTCCCAAGTTTAAGCACATCAGTTATGTGATCCACAATGTCATTGTTAATTTGAGACTGGGTCATCACATTGGGATAAGGTGCAGGCTGAAATGGAAGTGCATGCCCTTCACTGAGCCATGGGTGAGCTATTAGCTCATCCATTGTTATGCGCTTGTCAGGACTTGCTGTTAACATTCTCCTCAAAAGGTCTGTGGCATCTATGCATATAGAAAGAAAGGTGGTTACATTAGGCGAAGAAAGACTAGTACTTTTCGATGCCATTCAACACATGTTCACAAACATGCTTAACAAAACCTTCACTTAGAAGGTACATCGGTGGATAATAGCAAATAAAAGTTTGCTAACATATGGCTAACATAAATATCTACTATTGACTCACTAGCTGATATATGGTCTGGAATTGGATTCATCTTGTTCTGGAGCATCTTGGCGTGTAGGGCTGTGATGTTGAAGGGCTCGACCGTAAATGGTAGACAACCTGTGAGCATTGCGTACATATTGACACCACTAGATAGATTAGAAAAAATTTAATAGTAATAGTTTAATTTAAATAATTATTATAATATTATTTCTTACATGCTCCAGATGTCTACTGCACGGTCGTATTGCTTTTGGCCTAGTAGCTCAGGTGCAGCATAGGCTGGGCTACCACACTGTGTACGACAGTGTATCTCTCTACCAGTTTCATCCACAATAAACTCCTCATTACTGAGACCAAAATCTATATGACAATGGAAATGATGAGCTAGTAAAATAGTATATTATGTACTTCCATATTTCAGTGTATCTTATAGATAAAGCTATTACATGTACACATACACACATTATTAAAATTATAATCCCACTGACCTATTAGCTTAAGATCCATGTTGCCATCTAGTAACAGATTCTCTACTTTTAGATCTCTATGGAAAATGTAGAAAGTAATGAATTTCATACCATAGTTGTTTATCAAGTCAATAAAACAAGTTAATATGCAAAAGCTAGCAAGCAAAAAGGATATTTTCCTATGCTAACACCTTATGAATAGCTACTAAGAGAGGAAATTCAAATTTAAAATCCCATATTCACATGTTGTGACCCCATATGTGACAGATGGTGTGAGCAAATGATGATGTCAAATGCAGTAAATACAGACACGAGTAGAACATGCAAATACGACCTGTGCATCCATGGCACAAAGGATACCATTAATCATGAGGACTGTGGACTAAAAGTACATTGCTTTCACATAGACTGATAGACACACTCTTTACAGGCCACACACTACACATTCTGCTTACAATGCTCTTCTGCTTACCTGTGAATCAGCCCAGCTTTGTGAAGATGATCTACAGCAGAGACAATTTGTCTCACATATCGTCTTGTTTCATCCTCTGAGAGTTTACCATGCTTGTATATGTGCTTCATTAATTCACCACCTGCATGCATGCATATATGTATACAAAGTATGATTGTGTTTTTAATGATTAAGATATACCTGAACAGAGTTCAGTAATGAGGTAGTAATTGTTCTCTGTTTCAATCACTTCGTAGAGCTGGACAATGTTTGGATGGCGTAGCTTTTGCAGAAGACGTGCTTCTCTTTTGAAGTTTTTGGCTACATAAGAATCTTTCATTGCTTTCTTCTTGTCAATGATCTTCAAGGCGATCTATAAACACAGATTGAAGAGCCATGATTGACAAAGGCATAACTGAAGACAGTGTTAATTCATTGTATGCGTATGTTCACAGGTAATTCAAAGCTGTTATCACCGCAATGAACTCACCTTCTCACCAACCAGCACATGGAAAGCTTCTTTGACTTTAGCAAAGGATCCTTCGCCTAGCGTAGCTCCTACTAGATAGTTATTCACTTTCTTGGAGTGCACGTAAGCTTTCCAGTCTTCTTTAGGTACATGAGCGACTGCTGGCGGTAAACGAGATAATTCGATCGGGTCCAGTAGCTGTTGGAGGCAAGAGTCGGTATTGCTTCTACCCCTGAGTCCATGAGTCATACTGGCGTCTAATGTCATTGTGACACCAGGAAACCTGTCTCTAACCTGAAACGAGTCTCTATCCATTGCAAAGTGAGTCTCTCCAGCAAAATAAGCCCAAATATACGCCCACACACTACGAGCCCCACCCAAATAAACAGTAATCGTAATCGAGCTGAGCTGTGATTATTGTTGTTATTATTTTTTTATTACATCATTATTGACATTAATATTATTATTATTATTATGCAGGTATAAAAAATAAAATGTGTTAACTATTGTCGTCACACGAATCCATTACCTACAATGAAATGATGATCATACAATTAACAAAATGCAAATCAATAACACGTGATACCTTTACAAAAGAATGGCTAAGTAATTTGCTAGCAACGGCACGTTGTTTTGGATCGGTTTCAAAGCATAAATCAAGAAAATCAATCATCTCATCGTTCATTTTCTCAGCAGGATAAGATGGAGATTTCTTATTGCCTAGCTGAAACATTATGGCCATTGCATTGTCTTCTAGTTCAATCCAAGGACGCTGGAGAGAAAAAGTCTTAGTCTACTCTGTATAGGGGCTACTCCTTACTTTGCTAGTGAACATTTCAACCACTACACATCCCACTGCCCATATGTCCATTGGTCTACCCATGTCTTGCATTAACACAACCTCTGGTGACATGTATGCTAATGGAGAGAGGAGAGATATAAAGGAGGACATATGGAGGAGGTTAGTAAGGTCTTAGAATAAGCTCACGTATTGTTCCCCTTTGGTGCTTAATCTCTTGAGGAGCTGTCTTATTCACATTATGTAGCTGGACACTTAAACCAAAATCACCCAATTTGACAGAGTCGTCGGATAAAAATATATTAGCTCCTAGATGCATGGGTTGAAATGAGTGCCACTATATATGGTTAGGATAAGCACCTTTAATGTCACGATGGACTATCCCTCTGTCATGCAGAACATCCACTGCCCTCAGTAGATCTCTTGTATACAGCCGAATCATTCTTTCTTCGAGACCTTGCTTAGCAGCTCCCCAGAGAGTCCCTTGATTGCAGTATTCCATAAATAAGTACAGATCAGTCTGCGTATTATTAACAAAGAAACCATCTATATCATAATATACATAGTAACTCTGACTTACGTCATGTATCTCAACTCCATGAAAGTGAACGATATTCTTATGATTAATGGACTGGAATACTCCTACTTCGCTGAGTATGTCACGTACAGTGTTATGAGACTTCTCCTTCAGGGATATCTACATGCATACAGCAGCAATAATAAAATAATAATAATTATAAATCAAATAATGATAAAATACCATTTTAACTGCTTGCACTTCTCCTCTGTCTAAATTGATACACTCATAAACAACGCCAAACTGTCCTTCACCTAATATATATAAATAAATAGATAAATAAATAAATAATACTACTTATTACCAAGTTTCCTTCCTCTTCTCCATGTAAAGTGTGACTGCTTCAGATCTGTTAGTCTGCTTAGTTCAAAGACTGATGCTCCACTTCTCTCAGTCACACGACCAATGATACGCTTAACCCTCAACTCATCATCTCTCACCTAATGAAAACAAAAATATAATTATCTTGCTGATACATAAGTACATGCTCTGATGTTGTGTCAAAAAATTTGAGCCAATATTTTAAAAGTTGCTCCAAAAATTTCACCAAAATTGATAAGGTAAGAATTCTCAATTTTTTATATTTTTTCCAAATGCATATACATGCTCTTATGTTGCAAAAAAAGTTTGAGCTGATTCCAATCAAAATTGAATTTTTTATGAATTTTTAAAGTTGGTCCAAAATCAAGCCAAAGTCCCTGTACTACAGTACATGGTTTCGAGTCAAATTTTGCCAAAATTGAAAAAGTGAGAATTCTCAATTTTTATATTTTTTCCAAATGCATATACATGTACTTATGTTGGGTAGAAAGTTTGAGCTAATTCCAATCAAAGTTGGATTTTTTATGAATTTTAAAAATATGGAGCACATGGTTTTTAGCTCAATTGGCATGCTTTATGGGAAAACCCTGTATGATGACTACTTCATATCACATGATAAATTTTCATGTGCTCAGTACTGTATATTATATAATAGTGCAGGTTCTTTCATCCAAAAGAAACACCACTATACATTATACAGCAGTCTATTGTGTACACCTTTGTTCATTGGAAGACATAAAAAATAAAGTATTATACCTACTGGGTTATACATGAGCATTCTCTGAGGACAAGTAGTATATTATTTGACACTTTAGACAGCTCCTCTCTCTCTCTCCCTCTGCTACCCAAATCTCTCATCTTCTCACTTTGTCTATTCGCTTGCACTCCTCTTCAATCGTTTTGAATTTGATTTGTCTTTGATTGACAGGAGGCGGGACTTCTTGTGAGGGGGTGTGGCTTAACGGAGAACTATAGACAGCAACAGAGTCCCCTCTGTCCATTTTTGGTATTAGCATAGTCGTGGGAGGAGCTAGGGAAGAGAATATATGTGCCATAATAAGATGCAATCTGTGATCAAAATGGACTTAACCTTTTACAAGTCCTACACTGCACATATGCATCAGAAAAATGTAATAAAATCTGGGAAACTTTTTGATCCATGGTTTTTCAAAAATTAGCATCATTATTAAATGCTACTACTAACTCAAAATTAACCATCAAAAGTTGGCTCATGCTTTTTACATAGCATAAGGCCCAATATATCCATAAAAATGCAGCAATATATTAATTTGCACACATGTACATGTACATGTACTACGCACGGCCTACATTTCGGTAGTGAGTAAAGGGGTTCAGATGCTGCAAAAGATATGTCACCAGAGAGGACTGGACTGTCAATACCACTGCTATCAGCACCAGCATCAAACTCATCTCTCTCTTCTATCACTGGAGTACGGGATAAAGAATTACCTGATTTCTTCATACGACCTAATAATAACAACAATAATAACAATAATAATAATAATAACAACAACAACAACAACAACAACAACAACAATAATAATAACAATAATAATAATAATAATAATAATAATGATACAATAATAGTAACAAATTAATTTTGTTAAAGAAACATAATGTTAAAATTGTACACATATTGTGTATTTGTAAAACATCAAACAAAAAATTAAAACTTTATAGAAGTTACTTTTTTGTCTGGTCCACCCTCCAATATATTGAGGAGATGTATATGCTTCAGAAAAAGTATTACCTTTAGAATTCGAGTACAATAATAATGAATAAGGGTTGGGCTATTGGTATACTTACTACTTAATAAAGGGACTTCTCCTATCACGTGATCAAGACACCTCTCCATCTGCTTCTTAACATTCTCATATCGTGAGGGAGAGATTGTCGAGAGCATACGAGGGGAACAGGACAACAAGATGAACTCAAGGCCCAACACAGCCCACCTATAACAGCACAATACAATAATTATAGTACTGCTGTTACACTACATGTATATTCTGCATATTAGGAATTCTAAACTAATGATTAGTAAAATGTACATAAATAAGGACATCAAAATATTCAGTATACCATATGGTGCTTTATTTTGGCAATTTTGCTGTAAAACTGTATAATCAGCGGTTTTTAATTTGGTGACTCTGCTTGCAAACTGTCAATCACCAAAATAAAACTCTGCCAAATTAAAGCGCCATATGGTCTATACATGTACATGTGCATTTAGGAAACAACTCAAGAAGAGGCTATACTGTACCTGGGCTGCTTTCCATGGCCTCGAATACACTTGGTGGTTGCAAACACTATCCACTGCTGAGAGAAGTGCAACATCTCAGCTCCTAACTTCTGATGAATGTACTCGTCACCAAAGAGCCTGGAGAGGTCCTGTATGTACTAAAGAGGGAGGTAAGAGGGGCAGGAACTGATTGAAAACTTACTTCAAATCCAAAGTTATAGCAGGCGTGCATTGTTGGTAGGTATTGCTGGAGTAGATCCTCTCTCTCACTGATCTCCTCAAGGCTGAGGTTACCACTGACCCTCTCAACAATCTCAATGATAGTGTGACCAAAATGACAGAGGACAAGCTGGAAAAAATATATACATACAATGAATGATAAAATGAAAAAGCATAATTAGTCATATTAAGTCTGCACTCATTTCCTGGGCTAAGGTGGTGAATGATGATGAACTTTAGTATAATACATACTGTGCATGTACAAGTACACAATGATTCACGTACCTTTAGCTCGTTTATTCTTTCAGCTACCGAATGATGCGAAGACGTTCTCTTGTTAGTTATTTCAACGTTTGTTCCCATGCAACGAAGAAAAGACATTTGATTGCGCTCAAGTCGACTTGAATCATTGACAACCAGTTTAATACCTTCAACCTAGAAATACATGTACATGTACATGTAATAGACATAATTATACGGATAAAGTTAAACAATTGCATATCAACATTGCAGTATATAGCATACCTGCATCTCTGATATAGACACGATGGTTTCTGCTGATAATGTTAAATTGATTTTTTCTCCGGTCCAGATAGGGATTGAATCTCCTGCTGCAGAAAACCTAAAATAATCAAATAATAATAATAGAACATGTATCATAATATTCAACAATATATTATATTATTATTGCAATAGTTTAATTACTTTACAAACAGGAGGTAGCTGTCATTATAATGGACAGAGTGGCGGTGGCTGTGGCCCCCGGGACCACCCACCTCAACTACTGGATGACCAAAACTAACTCCTAATAATTTCTGTATCTCCCTATCATCAAAAATCGTTAATAATAAATTAAGGTAAGTAATAAATCATACTGTTGGTTGTCAGCAATGTTGTGAGGGACAAAGAGCATACAGGCATGATACTGAGGTATGATAACCTACCAATTGAAAATAATAATTAAAAATAATAAAGAATATTGTATAGTACATATATATATGCCTGTATTATATGGAGGTATTGTGTATTATGTAATTGCATGTAATCCTCCATTGTGTCTGTATATGTATGTGTGGCCATTCATTTATTATCTAATAAAAAGCAATCGAATTCAAGACAATGAATATTAATGATTAATGGTAGAGGTTAGAGTTTAGCCCAACTGATAATGACCGGACAATGTAGGTACAAGTATATCAACAAAAAACCACACACACACACACACACAATACATGTATATAAACTACACTGTACTATGTACCGTGTACTGTCTTGTCAATATTCAATACATGTATATAAACTATACTGTACTCTACTGTGTACTGTGTATATACATATCAATACATATATACATGTACATATAAACTACATGCATACTGTACTCTACTGTGTACTGTGCTGTACCTGATGATGGTCTGATGATGCTAGCGATTGGAGTAATACCTCCCTAGTACAGGTTATTGAGAACTCAGCAGCAATCTCAAGATCAGTCATTAGTGTCTTTGAGAAACCCAATCCCTTCATGGAAGACTCACGGGATTTCTGAATGATTGACTTGAACTCCCTGCAGAGCTCTATAAAGGCATGCCTGCAATGAGGAGAGCATGAGTCAAGTTTAAGAGTGATCAAAAATTAACATATTTATTAATAAATTTAATTTTGATTGGAATCAGCTCAAACTTTCTATGTAACATAAGTATTTATATGTATCAAAAAAATAGAGAATCCTCTCCTTTTCAATTTTGGCAAAATTTGACCTGAGACCCTGTACAGGGACTTGGGCCTGATTTTGGAGCAATTTTAAAATGAAAGGGAAGCCATCTTGAATAGTAAAGGAAAGGAAATACCAGTATTGCTAACATGGAGAGTTTATACGACCTTCCACATGAACCTGTAATTACATTCTGATACCATTGACACTATAGACTATAGGATAATGACAATACTACAAAGATATATACACATACATGTACATGTACATGTGTACATAGGACATATACAGTAGATATCAATACATGCATCATGCTGCATACTACACTACAGGTCATTGCTAAAGGTGTATGTACTTGTACATGGATTGATTCTACAGGTGACTAATGATGAAAAGAGAAACTACATTAAACCTGATGCTTAGAATACAACAACAACACTTGTAATCCAACTAACACTACTGCCAATTAACATACTGTTAATGGGAAAATAAGATTTTTACAATGTACGTCTAGACTATGCTAATGTTGACTTTGTACTACAACACAATCACAACCTCTCAATATAGAGCATTAGTTGGGCAGTATAGGCTACAGTGACTATTGCTACATGTCATGTACATACTTTCTTTCATCAGGATCATCCAGATTGTTGGAATGCTCATGCAGTTTATCACAGCAGTCATCGATTCGAGACTTGAGGTCTACTTCAAGGTTCTCTATGAGTTGTGATGCCATTGAACTGAGAAAAGAAAAGAAAGAGAACAGAGTGATTGCAAGAGAGGGAAAGAGTCGAAAAATAGCAAGAAAATTTTACCTACCAAAATCTTAGTCCAGCTTCAATCTCTCCGGTGGATATGTCATTGCATATGTCTTTGGTTATCTCCCATTGAGACTCCAAGAGGTTCCTGTCGGTAGAACTGACTTGAACAAGGCGCTCGACATAAGAGAAATACAACTAAAAACAAATAATAATAATAATAATAATAATAATAATAATAATAATAATAATAATAATAATGGTAATGTATGTGACAATAATGCAATGACACTTGGTAATAAGAATGACAAAATAATAATTGCATTTATATGTAATACAATTACATAACAGTTAGTCTAAAAGGTTCACTGTAATGCATTACAAATGCAACAAAGATTACATGCACATATTTCCATATTTTCATTGCATTTACCTGTAAGACACTTTGAAGGTGCTTCTCATAACAAGCCATGTCATTATCAACCAGTTCAGCTCCGCTAGGATCATTGGCTATCAAGAGACGAACCTTTGAGCGATAAAACTTCCTAACCCTCACCGCCTTTTTGAGCGTAACACAGGACTCTTGCACCAACTAATAAAAAAGAAGTATCTATAATGTAATGTGTAACTGAATAAGCACACAAGACACAGCCTTAAAATGCTGTAGTGTAGAGTGTATTGTTACCTTTTAAGAGTAATTGCTCATATGTTACATTAAAGATGCACCCATGTACTATAACTATTAATGGGCTTTCCCCATTTATCACAATACTTTAATAAATTGAATTAATTGTCAAGTTCAAATAAGGTACAATTATTATTACAACAACAGCAAAGCCTGACCCTCTCCCTTGTTAAAATAAGGAGAGTCTTACCATCCCAACAGAATAAGGAGTTGGACTCTTGTTTACTTCAGTACGCAGTCTCATAGACTCCTGCATTATATCCAATGGGACTCTGGTTAGACGAAGATACTGAAAGAGAGAGAGAGAGAAGAGAAAAGTAGCATGTACATGTACATTGATAAAGTAACTGACTTGTTCAGCAAATGGTGGAAGATTCATGTCCTGAAACTCATCATTCCAGCACTTAGGGGCAACGCTGCTAGCACGCTTCATTTGAGCAGGCCCTGGAGTACTAACACCTCCAAAGTGAATAAGACGAAACGGGGACAGTCTCTCTAAAAAAGAGCTATTATCTTCATTGTCGCTGTCTTCCGACTTATCTTCTTCGACCTCGAGCTGTTTCATTGCTTCTTTGGCAGTTTTGAGTATCGGCTTGATGGACTTGATAAGCTTCTCTATCAGCCAATCCAGACTCTTTCTCTTGAGTACCTGATCAACAAAACGGCTGTAGCCTTTGGATGACACTCTCTCCTCGTCAATCGAGTAGATATTACGAGATGAGAAGAGACGCTGTAGAGTGCCTCTTGAGCTGGATATGGAGTTTTGTGTTTGGAAGAAAGAGCTGGCGAAGGAGAGAGCACTGAGTGAAAGGGACTCTTCAGGATCAACTGATATATCACTCGTAAACAAAGGAGGAGTTGGGAGAGGAGGGTTCCCGCCAGAACCACCAGATCCTTGACGAGAAGGTGTGCCAGGTTCTACGTTGCAAGGGATTAGGTCATCTTCTGAGCGTCTCACTGGGTTAACAATGACTCCAAACCATTTAGAAAGGTTTACTAAATGCTTTGCGAGTCCTTCCGTGATCTTTAGCCAGAGGACCAGAGCAGCTCTGCGTCTCTTGAAAGGCAATTGTTGATATTGCTTATCCACCACCCTCTTACTGCTGGCATATAATAGCTCGACTCTCTCTAAATCAGAGAGTAGCGAGTCCACATCTTCAATGGCCTGCAACTGCTCTTCACTCAGGAAGTTATCAAAGCTAAACTCGACCGATAAAGCATCAGAATCATTAGACTCTTGCTGGATGAGTGTCTGAGGCCCGTATTCATCTTCTCCTTCAGTCTCTCCTCCTCCATCCTCCCACCTCACTGATGGGTTATTAATGGACGTCAATGGAGTCTCATCCCCTTCTTCTTCTTCTCCTTTCTCCTCTACCTCCTCCTCCTCTTCTTTGTTCTCCTGTAATGGCATCATCTTCCTCCGTCTAAGGCTCCCTCTCTTTAGCTCGTTCAGTTGAGCTGGAAGACTCTTTGCTGACTCACTTAAGCCACGGAAGTATCCACTAAGTGTAGAGTCGGAAGAGAAAGAGTAATGGATGATCCGATAGAGTATACTGCCACTCTCACACTGGAGCTGGTAGTCTGCCTCCTCCTGGTCCTCTAGCGTGTGGTTATTGAGGTAAGCTCTCAGTTCCATCCTTAGCTGCTCGTTATCGGGACCAAAGGGATTCTTAGCATTGAGATCCTCTGAGTGCTGTCTTGGGATATGCCCAGGCTGGGTGCTGGACTGCTGCTGGCGCTTTGCTATCATTTTGAGTCTCTTGGAAAAGTTACGATAAAACTGCTTCCTATCAGGAGGACAGTGCATGGAGTGAGAGGAGGAGGAGGAGAGAGTAAGAGATAACTGTGCATCGGATTGTGACCTCTCTATGCTGACACCAGGGGGTGCGTGAGAGAGAGAGGAGAGGGAGTAATACGGAATGATATTATCAGTTGTATAAGAGAATGACGGCCGCATGTGTGAAGGGATTCCAGGAGAAAGCATAGGATTAGGAGAACCAACCTTCCCTAGCTTAGAAGGATAAGGACTAGAGGAGAGTTTGGAGCTGTAGGTCTCTGGAGATAAGTGAGGCAGAGGATAAAGTACAGGTGAGTCTCCGGTAGGTAAATAATGAGGATCAATAGGAGGAGGATATAGGGACGTATCGACTGATGGTGATTGGTTAGGCGGGGGAAGAGGGTAAGATGAAGGAGGGGGAACATTATAAGATAAAGGAGAAGGAGAGGAGGGAGAGTAAGAGGGGGGAGGAGGGTGAGAGGGAGAAGGAGGGGGTAAGGCGGGAGGAGAAGAGGGAGGGGGTAAGGGAGAGTGAGAGGGGGGAGGGTGGGAGGGAGGGTGTGAGGGGGGAGGGTGGGAGGAAGGGGGAGGGGAGGAGTGTGAGTGAGCCAGTACAGGGTAAGGTGGGTTAGAGGGAGAGGGACTTGAGAAAGAGGGTCTTGGTGGTTCAGTGTTGGTATAATTAGCAGTAGACGATGGTGAGGTGCTCATTTCCGGATGATTTATTGCTGATTTGACATTACGCTCCATCTGTCTGCTCTTTTCTTTCCTCTTCTTGTCACACAACGAGACTTGACACAATTCGCTACTGATCTCTTCTCCCTCGCCAGTCAATGAATATCGTTTATGTATCAGGGAATCAGAAGGCGTCGATACCGATTCAGACCAATCAGCTGATTTCGCTCTAGTAATATCCTTAACTCTATACGGCGACTGGTTCTCGGACGACGAAGACATGATCTTTCGCGACGTCTTGTACTTGTGTCCACGACGTGACATTTTATGTAACCGACTATTAGATGGAGGGGTAGACCCAGTCAGTCCCTCATCATAAGACCCTGACTCCTCCTCCTCTTCCTCTGATGTTGAGTCTACTGGTAATGAGGAGAGTTTATCATCAGTTTCTCCACTGGCCTCTTCGTCGATGCCTTCCACGACGTGGTCGGGAAAGTAGCTCTCTTCTTCTCCTTCTCCTTCCGCCATGAGCTCTTTTCTTCAAAGGAAAAAGAGGAAGAAATACTCCTTACAAAAACATGGAGAATTTGCATTAGAAAGGAGGACTGTCCCTTAGTAAAACTCCGTAAAAAATCAGAGACGGTTCATGTAACGTTAACTGGAAGTCGATGTCCCCGTACACTATTCAATATGGCCGCAACAATGGAAGGTGGAAAGAATATTTGTGCTGTTCTGAGAGCTAAAGGAGACTTACAATTGGTAAGCAAGTGCAACAATCTGTCTATTAATAAGTTTTCTGAGCTTGCTGCATTGCACGGGCTGGAATCCTTAGCTCTGCCTTTATGCAATAAGGCTATGGTTTTAGTGTTTCTTTTTGAAACCATTTAGGAAGAAAGAGTCATTCCCAAGGCTGGGAAGGGAGGTATGGCCCTATGTCTTATGCTGCAGGTGCAAACTCCTCTATATATTTACTCTCTATGTAGAGGTGCTCCTAAGAATGAAATCAGTTGGTATCTGTGGGAGTGATGTTCATTATTGGACCGAGGGGAGGATTGGTGATTTCATACTCAAAGAGCCGATGATAATGGGACACGAAGCTAGTGCCGTAGTGGTGGAGACTGGGGAGGGTGTCAGCCATCTCAAACCAGGTCAGATATTAGTAGCATACAAGCTAGCGTATTGTGCAAGATATTTCTGTATTGCCTGGGATATGTATGCTTGTGTGTTTGATTCTGTTTGCACTATGATTATCTAATGCTGTATGCTCTTGTTGGAGGTGGGGCTCATTTATTGACTGCAGCTGCTTGTACATGTACGTGTAGAGTATGATAGTAAACATCATCAAGAGTAAGTAATTATCTGCTCTTGACATCATGTAATTAGATCAATTGGTAGACATTAGTGAGTACGGACATAAAAGCCATAACAGTTCTACTTTACGAATATGTCAAAACAATAAACAAGATGGTTTTTTAAATCGTCATAGATGTGTCTACATTGTATATGTATGGTGGTTTTTGAAAATGGCTTCTCTTTTCTAAAACCAAGCTGTTGGTTTTAGCTCCTAAACCTTCCTTTATAACTTCAATTCTTTTTCTTAAACATCTCCTAGTCTAGAATATCTTACTATAATGCATACATCCTTATCTGAGGTGTAGCCATTGTAAAAGCAATTAAACCTATAATAATTGCATCATCCTGCACTAATAAATTGTGTTTTAGAGCACAAAAATGTACAGTATATATATATGTACTAAAAGGCATGTTTTAAAAACTTTGAGTAGTATCTCCCTAAAAAATGATTTTTTTTAATAACAAGGTATTGGAAGGAAAAACAATCGTTTGTTGATATCATAGCATAGCAACCTTATACGCCATCCTTGATCTTAAAATTTGTTTTTTTGAAAAACTAATTTACCACGTAAGGCTTGTCATTGTATGAGCTCTACAAAGGCTTGAAAATTGTCGTAACGTTATTAGCAATCATGGTAATAGGCTTGAAGTGGTGAAAAGTTCAGACAATGGTTCGAGAAGATCGTATCATATGATTTTCTTGTTGTATGATTATTGCAGTTATTAATGTTAAACGACTAATGGCTATAAAAGTAGTTGAGTGTTTCTATCACAAACAACCATTCAGTTGAAGATGTATTCTATTCTACTGGTTCTTTGTATTGCCTCATTATCTGCTGCACTTGATGGTACTTGTGTTAATCCTACTACTTTGTCTTTCATTGAGAATTCACTGAGTAATATCAGTGATCAGCTTAAAGGATCATCTAATGGAGTGAGTGAGAGTATAACGAGTGTCACTAGTCTACTCCAACTGACGATGCTAAAGGAAATGATAGGATCTTACAAGGAGAGTTCCACTAGCAATAATAATGAAGAAGGATTGACTCTACTGAAAAGGATTGAACTAATACTAAACACTTCTACTGCTGACCTTAACAATAAACTGGACACTAACACTGCTATACTTAGCTCTAGACTGAGTACTATTGAACACAATATTCCTTCAGCCATTAGTTCACTGCAATCACAAGTGTCTGCCCTCTCATCTGATCTTAAGAAGATACATCAACTGCTGGAGGAACATGCTAATGTGACTGGAAATTGTGAAGAGGCTCGCGATCCTCTCCTCTCCTCATGCGATGCTATCCTCAGTAAGTCACCAAATAGTCCTTCAGGTTATTATAATCTAGCTGATGTTAATGGACATAGTCGTCATGTATACTGTCACATGGAGACTCTGTGTGGTAAAGGAGGAGGCTGGAGAAGAATAGCTAGTCTGAATATGACTGATCCTAATGAGAATTGTCCTACTCAGTTTAGATCTTATTCATCAGGTGGAGTTCGTGTTTGTGGTAGACCAGTCACTAATACTGGTGGCTCTGCTAGTATAACATTTCCATCAAGTGATATACGATACTCTCAAGTTTGTGGTAAAGTCATTGGATATCAAAAAGGCTTCCCAGATGGAGTCATGAGAAAGATATCTGATAGTACTATAAACTCACCAGCTTACATTGATGGTATTAGCCTAACTTATGGTAATCCAAGGAAACATCTCTGGACATTTATCAGTGGTGGGACTGGCAGTGGACCTTATAATCGTTGCCCTTGTGGTACTACTGGTCAAAAAACCTACCCATCATTTGTTGGCTCAAACTATTACTGTGAAGCAGGTTATGAAACAGGTCACTGGGCTACATATTCTGTTACATATACATCTGATCCATTATGGGATGGTAAAGGTTGTGGTAGTAGTGAGACCAATTGTTGTCAGCGTACTCTTATTCCTTGGTTCTATAGATCTTTTACTCACTCTACTACTGATTATATTGAGATGAGGATCGGCTGTGATGAAGGAACTCACGATGAAGATGTTCCTGTTGGAGAATATGAAATTTATGTTAAGTGATATTTGCAAGCAACTGTTTTCTATTTTGATAAGTTGTTTCTTTTTGGCCTCGCCAGCGATTAGTGTAGGCAAGGACTATGTAGTTAAGTGTGTTGTCTTTCTGCTATTGTTTTTGTCTTTTGTTAAATAAAAATGAAGACCACAATGATCTAAAAGTGCTTGCAAGAGGAGGGATTCATTATTGACTGCATGCAGCAGTTTGTGTGCATGTGTAGTATAGTAAATATTAATTATATCAATTAGTGTAGGCTGAGTGAGCACGATCATAAAGTGCAGTAGCTGCATAAAGGCACATCAAAAATTTTTATTTGTACTGTACAAATTTTTAAACTCAAGGTATGTTTCAAAAATTTTAGTTACACTTTTCCAAAAATAATTATATATTTTACAAAGTGGAAAGAACTACAATGCATTTGCTGATATCATACAAACTTTATTGATGTTGAAATTTGTTTTTTGAAGTTGTTTACGGCTTAGAATGTGTCATTGTATGAGCTCTATCAGGATTTGAGGTTTGTCGTAACACTAGTAGTAATTATGGTAATAGGTTTGAAGTGGTAAAATGGTTTGAGAAGATAGTATTGTATGATTTTACTTGTCGTATGATTATTGTAGTTATTAATGTTAAACGACTAATGGCTATAAAAGTAGTTGAGCATTTTCATCACAAATAACCATTCAGTTGAAGATGTATTCTATTTTACTGGTTCTTTGTATTGCCTCATTATCTGCTGCACTTGATGGTACTTGTGTTAATCCTACTACTTTGTCTTTCATTGAGAATTCACTGACTAATATCAGTGATCAGCTTAAAGGATCATCTAATGGAGTGAGTGAGAGTCTCTCTAGTGTCACTAGTCTCTTTCAACTCTCCTTCCTTAAAGAATTGATTGGATCTTATAAAGAGAAGTCATCCAATAGCAGTAATGAAGAAGGATTGGCTATTCTGAAAAGAATGGAACTAATATTGAACACATCCACTGCTGACATCACTTCTAAACTAGAGGACACCAATGCTAGACTGAGTGCCATTGAACAACAGCAACAAGATATTCCTTCAGCCATTAGTTCACTGCAATTACAAGTGTCTTCTCTCTCATCTGATCTTAACAAGTTGTCTCGATTGTTAGCAAAACATGTTAATGTGACTTTAGATGATGAAGAAGAGGCTCCTTTATCTCCTCTCCTCTCCTCATGTGATGCTATCCTCAGTAAATGGCCTAACAGTCCTTCAGGTTATTATAATCTAGCTGATGTTAATGGACATAGTCGTCATGTATACTGTCACATGGAGACTCTGTGTGGTGGGGATCCTCTAGAG